ATATATAAAAAAGCACTTTTCAAAATAACACGTTTAATGGTGAATTGTCAATTCGCATACATGAGCAGCAACTGTACTACATGTACATATTCACAGCAATGATTATTGTAAACAAGATTGAATTTTGATTGATTTATATTAATATATATGTCCTATATTAATTTTTTTTATCATATACACATCACTAAATATCAAGATCACTGTCCTCACTATCAGATTCACATAAAACAATATCCTCAGTTAATCTCACATTGTCACAATGAACACATTTACATAGGTCAGTGCAGGCCAGGTCAGCCTTGTGGCATGAGCACCTTCCACCTGTACAAGTACGAGACTTACACCCACAGTGGAGTGACCCCAAAATCTGTTGTGAAGCTGGATCTTTAGTCATCCATGATATGATGAGATCACCATCCTTGACAATCCATCCAAAGCCGTCTGGACTGGGAGCATTTATAAAAGGATCCAATGCTCTCCTGTGGATTGCAGCTAGGTAGTTAGCACGCTTGAAGTGCTCTGTAAGTGCATCTTTTGTTGGAGGTAATGCCTGTTCGGAAGAGGCCTGGACACAGAACCTATTGTATCTGGCCAAATTAACATCCGATACCTTTTCTCCATACAGCTCACACACAAAACGTTCTATGGTCACAAATGTGGTGCTGTCCATTTCAAATTGCCTCCCAAGAGCAATAAATGCACGGATGTACTCTGCATTTCCAGACACTATATTTAGTGGTTTCTCTTTTCCTTTCCCATAAAAGGAACTAGTTGAGTCACAGCCAGTGAATGTGTGTAGTCCTATCAGTGCCTCTGTTAGTGAAGGACCCAAAGCAGAACCAATAGCCTGGAGATCTAACATTCTTTGCCTGTCTTTTGTTCCTGTCAGAAAGTACATCTTTGCTGAGGGAAGCTTAGCCATTATTGAAAGTGAAATGATAGCAACATCAGTGTCACGACTCTGGATGATTATCTTATTATAAAGTTCACTCCAGGCATGTTTTGCATGAAGTAGGAGCCTCGTGTCCGCTTCTTCATGGTCACAAGTCAAATATTCTACCTCTTTGACAGACATAATGCCATCTTTAAGAGTGAGTTGATGACATACATTTCTGTGTGCCACAAAGATAGCTATGTCTTTTCCAGCTGCTTGTAAAGGCACAGTTCTCCATGTCTCAAAGAAAAAGTCTGTCAAGGCTTTTTTATTTTCACCACTGGCTAGAAACTTGGTCCACTGACTTGGAGTCTTCTGCTTGATGCTGTATATTTGCAGTAATTGTTGTCCAGCAACAGCACGTCTTGATCGTTCAGCATTTTTGATGCTCACTGCCGGGTAGCGATCAATGACAAAATCGACCCTTGGACAACTTTCTACCCATCTTAATCATAAGTTGAAGAAGATCATCAGCAAGCTCACCGAATGTGTCTGGTATATTCTTGAGACTCCTGATCAATGCCATGCCATCTATCAGTAGGGCACCATTATCACCAACAGTCTTGTTCACATGACAGTCCTTGTTCTTTGATTCTAAACAAGCTAGAAAAGCAGCCTTATTTGTTTTGGCTAATGAACCATCAGTGCTTGCTAGTGGGGATGAGATATTGCCAAGTGAATATGTCAGAATCTCTTTCAAGTTTACAGACAGGAATTTACTTATCACTAACAGTCGTGCAAAGAGTCTCCTGTAATTTTTTAGAATGACTTGATTTTCATCTTTTGTCTTGGATGATTTCTTCATTTGATCCCCAAACGCAGTGAGCTTCAATGACTTTATTGGAGAGAAGAAGTCTGTTTTTGATGACTGGACTCGATCTTGGATGAAAATTTTCAGAGCTGTTTCACCTTTATCACAAGCACTTTGTATGTCATCTCTGACAGTCTTTGTAGCAACAACACCAGAGCTAATACCTACAAGATCTTCACGAGGCAGCAAGGGATTGATCATAGACTCAACCGCTGAAACCAAAGATATAACAGCAGCATTGTCTTTTGCAATTCTTGTTGCATCCAACTCTTTATGACCCCTCTCTTCATGTTGCATTCCAGCCATCATTTCACACTGCCTTGTGATTGCAGAACGTTCAGGATGAGACAGTATCCATCGCTGGACGGCACCTCTGTTCAATGTTATCCCAGTTATGCCGCCCTTGGTCTTTGAATCACGGTTGCAGGTTTGTTCTATTGCTTGGTCACAAGCTATGGATGAGAACATGTTAGCATCCTTACGCTATACTGTCCAGTTTCCTTTTGCAGTAACTTCTTCATAGCAGTGTGGATGAGTCTTTGGAAGATTGATCATCTCGACCCAATATGCTGATAGGTACCTTGCATAATTTTGGCGGTCATATGCAAAATACCATGCCAGCATACGTCTCACTGGTGCTAAGTGAAGGCTCCAGTCAGAGCATTAGATAGGACATGTATATTTAAAGCCCTACCTTCTATAGAGAAATAATTTGATTATGGAATTACATTGCATTCACACGCAATATGTAAATGTAATTGGAGTGACCCTACAGATTTGTGAACAAACATTTTTTTTTACCTACCTATATGTTTTTCAGTTTTGCTGAGAAATCTTGTGTAATCTCGATAGCAGGATTTGTGGTATCGGACCTCGATTGCAATGCAGTCTTTCCCACGAATGTGTGTCAGAATGCTCTCATCTGATTTTATTTGAGCTGCCTCACGAAGAAGTCCTATATTAAAGATATGAAGAATAAATTATAAACCCAGTTGGCAATATATTAACTTGCATAACATTCAATTCAAGTGAGTAAACATACCTGTGTTAATCGAGTTTGATCGCCGCTATCAGATGAAGCTGCGCATGCTTAAGTCCTCCTCCATGTTTACATGTGCGTAATGATATTGGCTTGATTTTGGCTCTGACCTACTTACATTTTCGATGCTGATTAGTTGAAAATCTAGCTCAACAGTTTTATATGTCTCAATACGCAGTCAATATATTGCGCCAATAAATGACACTTTTCTCATTAACTGCAGGATAATGCGTGGAGAACGTTTTGCTTGGATACCTTTTATTAACGTTGAACATATTGAGCAAAAGAAAAAGTAGTGCCCCGTTTGTCGGAACGAAATTGAACGATACAGCTCACGTACAGCGGCCTACTCAGCAAAGATGTACTTTCTGACAGGAACAAAAGACAGGCAAAGAATGTTAGATCTCCAGGCTATTGGTTCTGCTTTGGGTCCTTCACTAACAGAGGCACTGATAGGACTACACACATTCACTGGCTGTGACTCAACTAGTTCCTTTTATGGGATAGGAAAAGAGAAACCACTAAATATAGTGTCTGGAAATGCAGAGTACATCAGTGCATTTATTGCTCTTGGGAGGCAATTTGAAATGGACAGCACCACATTTGTGACCATGGAACGTTTTGTGTGTGAGCTGTATGGAGAAAAGGTATCAGATGTTAATTTGGCCAGATACAATAGGTTATGTGTCCAGGCCTCTTCCGAACAGGCATTACCTCCAACAAAAGATGCACTTACAGAGCACTTCAAGCGTGCTAACTACCTAGCTGCAATCCACAGGAGAGCATTGGATCCTTTTATAAATGCTCCCAGTCCAGACGGCTTTGGATGGATTGTCAAGGATGGTGATCTCATCATATCATGGATGACTAAAGATCCAGCTTCTCAACAGATTTTGGGGTCACTCCACTGTGGGTGTAAGTCTCGTACTTGTACAGGTGGAAGGTGTTCATGCCACAAGGCTGACCTGGCCTGCACTGACCTATGTAAATGTGTTCATTGTGACAATGTGAGATTAACTGAGGATATTGTTTTATGTGAATCTGATAGTGAGGACAGTGATCTTGATATTTAGTGATGTGTATATGATAAAAAAAATTAATATAGGACATATATTAATATAAATCAATCAAAATTCAATCTTGTTTACAATAATCATTGCTGTGAATATGTACATGTAGTGCAGTTGCTGCTCATGTATGCGAATTGACAATTCACCATTAAACGTGTTATTTTGAAAAGTGCTTTTTTATATATTATATTTTGGCTTAATTCTATTTGTTATTCAGATTTTACCTCTAATATTACCTTTCAATTAGAACAACATAATGAGAAGTAATTGGGATGTTAATGCTACAGCAGAAGTTTTCTTGATAATCTTATCATGTTTACTGTGCATAGATAGCAACTTCAGGTAAATCACACATTTCAAACTGGTTTATTTTGTACTTCAAGTGGTAATTCTGCATTTTTGGGTTTATATGATAAACAGGTTTAAAAGTGCAAAATTCCCTATGGTTTCCCTTTTTTCAAAATGGGCACCTTTAGCATCATTTTTCTCTAAAACTGCAAGGTTGTGTGCGGAGAACTTTTTCCTAAGGAATCTCTATATATTTCTGATGTTAAATATTAAAAAAGTAGGTAGTGCCCCACTTGGTGGAACGAAACCCTATTTCTTGGCCTCTTTTAGGCTACCGACAGCGGCCTAATCCCTCACCGCACGCCAACTGGCCTGACCTGACTGGCCAACTCGTGCCCCGCCCCCGGTCAAGGCCAGACTTCGTGGCGACTTGGCTTCCGGAGATGGGGGAATGGGGGATTTCCCCCCGTCACCACTCACCCCCCCCATTACTTTATGTAACCTCGGCCACCACACATCACCCCGGTGCGACAGCATTTGACTGTTACACCAGGTCTTGTGCTACCTGAGATCCATCTCGCCATTATCAGTTTGGTGGTGCACAAGACCTGCTCCTGCCTCGTGTTATATTTAATCATGCACACTCACACATCACCGCATGAAACCAAAGTAAATAGCATTTGATTGCAAATTATACACCAAAAACCTCGCAACACTGTGTGAGATAACATACAAGTTCAAGTTAATGTATTAGGTATAGCCCTGTGAGCCATTCGGCTCTTGAATCGGGTGCAACCGCAAAAAAACAAAAAACAAAAACATGAACAAAAAACATCTTAAAGTGAATATGTGACTGAGTGCAAACAGTAAAGCTATAAGGAAGAGTGGCTACACTGCAGGTGCCTGGCATCGATTTCCACTACCCTTTGTAGATAAACAATCTCCAGTCGTTTATTTATGGAAAATTACAGACCACAAAGATTAAATATATTGTTTTAGTAAACCATGGTGGTAGAAATGGCAGATCGCTCTGCGAGCATGTTTATCTCTCACACTAACAGCCACGTTGGGGCGCTGGCCGTGGAGGCTGCTCAACGATTTTACGTGCTCATTTTTACTTGGCAGCCCTGTGATTGGTGGAAAACCCACCACCGTCGCGGTCGCTGACCACATTAACAGTGGCTGCTGACATTTGGGCTATGCCAATTTAAAACCTTTATAAACAGTTTCCCTTTAAAAACTAACCCCCTCTTCCTGATGACGAACGCATGTGTTGCGATCGAAATGTAGTTTTTTGTTATTTTCTTTGAACCGATCTACGAGACTTTACCGAAAGACCCAAAGAATATATATTTCTATAACCGCAAAAAAGAAGTAATCGAAAATGATCACAGGAGTCCTATGGAGTAGGCGTGGCGTTGGCCGAAAGGGGCGTGTGCCCATATATGGTAATTGTGACTCGTGGGTTTAAATTGTATCGATTTAACACAGTCGATCAGGCAGCCATGTTGAAAATATAGATTCATTGGCAATCGATTACATTGGCCAGCGATACTTGGGATCGAGTGTGGCCCCGCTCCCTTTATTTGATTGGATATTAGCCCTGAGGCACAATGACATGATTAAACCGCAAATTATGATTAGGTATTTTTGTTTCCTTATACTATTATTATGCCCGTTTTCATTTTAAACGTTATTCAATGAATTATGTAAAAATCGCATGTCATTAAATGCACCATTGTTTTGTTTAATCTGTGAACAGCAGAAAGTAATTTAAGATTTAAAAAAAACTGCCATTTCAAAGAGGGCTGCTCGATCAACTTTCAGCTGGGTGCCAGATGGACTGAGCCGAATCGATACCAATGAAACCTCGATTCACGATGACTATACATGGGCAAGAACAGGCCCCCCTTTGGCTGACGCCCCGCCCACTTCCATATATGGGGGCAAATATTTGATCGGTGATTTCGTTGTCCCGCAATGCCACCCCACCAAGTGCTCGAGGAGACGCGTGGTCAGCCTGCTGCACGTTGCGCGGCGTGCTTCACACAACTCGTGCAGCCATGAGCCCTTTCTGCAACACGGTCATTAGGTTACACGATGCAGGTTGTGAAGTGACCCTCGATGCAACTTATTACGATCATGAGCGTCGTTGTGCAGAAAACGAGTGACAATAAACAGACAATATAGTTCCCACATCTGGGACCCATCAACTCTCCGATAGGGTGCTTGGAGATACACATCTGCCAGTTCACCAGTATTGGTTCAAGCAAGCCGGACACGACTGATGAACCACTGAATGTCAAAACCGGTCTAAAGTGTATTATTTGTAACCAATGCTGCTGAAAGATTGAACTCCCAGAAGGCCGTGTGGCTGATGGGATGTGTAAACACACTTTATTGACGGGGAGGCATACTCCATGCTATGTGAACATTTTAACTTTGTATTTGGAGACATAAAACATTCCATATGTGATCGACAATTAGTTCACATCCCATACGCTTACACGGGAGGATACATTATGATCTCCGGCAGAGTCAATTTAGGTTCCTATTTCTCTTCCAGCGGAGACTTGTTAAATGCAGTTAAATTAGGGTATCAATCATTTTAACAATTGAGTTCCACGTCAATTTAGTTTATGAGATTTGGGCTCTGAAACCAGCACACATAAACACGGTCGAATCGTGCAATTGTGACAGTGGGGATCTGTTCATTCATGCAAGCAGGTGCCAGATATGTTTAAGTGCTCATCGCTACCATTTATGCATGTTACTGAGAATATTTATGAAAAATAACATTATGAATCAAAACCATAAAACGGCTCAATGTAAATAACTTCCGATAGCAGTCACAGTAAGCACCGCAAAGCAGGCGAGATACACAAATCGCATTATTGCATCTCGAGCAAAGGCAATTACTTTCCCATGCAGAGTGCATTTGTGATGTGCATGCGATGGAATGGACATCTGTGAAAAGAAGCTTAATAGCCCATGATAATCATCCGGGATAAAGAAAGATTTTGATTCTGAATGGAATTGATAAAAAAATGTAACTAAACCACGCAATAAAATGTATTAGTCCAGGATAGGGAGAAACTCGACTGGAGAGTGAGCAACAAGGGGGCCGAGCAGCCACGTAATAAAGATGAGAATATAGCACTCTTACTAGCCTTTGTTTCAATCAGAGCACCCAAGTATGATTGTAATAATAATTACTTGAAATCTTAAGGTGCATTTCATCTGTAGAATTCCATGTATGTGCAGGGATCATGACGCAAAGCAGTGCACTACTTGTTTAGGCAACAGGACCATCACGTCGCATTAAACCGTGCAAAACCCAGCATCGTGCATGAAGCAGTCATCTGTCATTACACCTCCACATTGGGGTCAGAAAAACCTTTTCCTCGTTCGCCCTGAAAGATGGGTTTCGAGGTGCGTGTGTGCCACACCAGAACCTGAAGGACACACAAGCGTGCACGTCTTTCCATTGTTGAAACTCACCACTGCTTCCATAATTCACCACTGTTTCCATCACACCCCACTGCTTTCACAACTCACCACTGCTTCCATCACCCACCACTGCTTCCATCACACCCAAATGCTTCCATAACTCACCATTGCTTCCATAACTCACCACTGCTTACATCATCCTCACCATTTCCACTGACCACACCCAGGCATATATCTCAGTCACCCTAGGTATATCAAAACTGTGCAGTCATATCATGTAATAACATTCAACACAATCCCATTGAACCTGGAATGAATTAATTCATAAAAATAAGAAACACGGAGGTCCAGGCCACTCTTGCACAAGAGACACTGTTCCATTTTTCTCAATGGGTTTGTTTAATCTCCTGGTTAAATAGGAGATTGAACACGAACACAAATACCAATCTCTGGAACACCTAGCCTCTTCCCCTGGGTAGGGACAATGGGGGGATATATGTGGATGCGGGTTGGGCAGTTGGGAGGAGAGTCATCTCATGTTTTCTCTCGACTTGACCCAACGCTCAGGGGTCTGGGCTACTCACGCAACAGAGGATTGCTTGCATCGAACCAACTACAGTATGTACACTATCAGGTGGAACTCGACTAAACTGATGACACACTGGAAAGTCAACACCGGTCCACAGTTTCCTTGAGTTGAGTCAATGCTGCTGAAACGATTCACTGCTAGAAAGACGTGTGGCTGATGGGATGTGTAAAAAATACCATGTTCTTTATAAAGAGGAATATACAGTAAACCCTCTATATCCGCGAGGGCTATACGTTCTTGAAAATGCTCGTGAATGCATAATTCTTGAGTGCAGAAAATTTGTTACAATGGGAAAAAATGGGGTTACGTTCGTGGTGCGAGTGATTACTGGGACACTTGTGGACTAAGAGGGCAGCTGAGGGGACATGCCTAATCTTTGCAGTTTCTAATGTGTAGTGGCATAGCGCTGGCTGCTGGCAGAAATGTGGATCTGCGGCATACGGCAGTCCTGACGTCAGCAGGCCAGGATATACACGAGAGGGGAATCTAGGGGAAAGGTCACAGAAGGGGTCCACCAGGAATCCGCTAGTAGGTTCCAGAAAGGGAGCGTGGCCGAGGCAGAGCAAGGCCACGCTGACAGTTTAAGAGGGGCCCCTGTGGGGGACCTCAGGCCTGTTGTTGGAGTGGGATCCCGGTCGTGCTGCTGAAGTCCATCGTCGCCATTATTCTCGTCGTCGTCTCCATTTCTACCATCTCGGGGAGCCACTAGCCAGGCAACTGTCCTGGCTGAGTAGCGTCGCCGATAATAGATGGACTAAATATTAAATGTGTTAATACCGATGGTGCTCATTAATATAGATGTGCCTCTTAGTCTTATTGTCTCCGAGTTAGTCACTTCAAATGTAACAACATTCTGCACGCACCTCCCTGGTGTCGGTGATCTGGCACTACGCACACTCGCAAATACTGGAGTCTGGCGGGTGTCGCGAATAGGGAATAAGTATACATTTAATTGTTCATGAATGTGAAACTCGCGAATCCAGAACTTGCGCATAGCGAGGGTTTACTGTATTCAGGAAAGAGGTGTATTTGGCAGTCAAAGATGCCAATAGTTATCTGTTTTCAACACGTCTGTACAGTTTGTCAACTTTCAAGTGACAGTCTGTCTCCCCTCGTTTTGTTGCTTTGTTTCCTGCTGTTGTGCCTGGTCTCTCATTGACATGCTAATTTCTCTACCCCCCCCCCCCCTCTCTCTCTCTATTTAAGGCCTCGACACAGAGGCGTTGTTTCTCTGTGTGCCTATGTATTTGTCTCTCTCTGTGTGTCTCTGTGTCATCTCTCTCTGCTTATGTGTCTGTCTATGTGTCTCCGGTTCTGTGTTTTATGTCTCTCTTAAATTTAACAATCTTTGGAAGAACGTAATCAACCAGGTAGGGTGTTGACTGATAATTGTTTTTTTACCCTTCTATCTGGCAACAAAACTGACGCATTTTTACAAGGAGTCATGTTTGCATAGACCACAATACCTGCAGTCATAATGCAAACAAAAAACATAACTCTGATAATGTGCACTGTCCTTGAAGTTGATTGGTCCACACCCGAGACAGCTTTCCTTAGAGCCTAGTCTCACATGGGTTGGACCAGATGACGCCAAAACGCGCTTTGGCGTCATCTGGTCCAACCCATGTGAGACTAGGCTCTAAGGAAAGCTGTCTCGGGTGTGGACCAATCAACTTCAAGGACAGTGCACATTATCAGAGTAATGTTTTTTGTTTGCATTATGACTGCAGGTATTGTGGTCTATGCAAACATGACTCCTTGTAAAAAGGTGTCAGTTTTGTTGCCAGATAGAAGGGTAAAAAACCAATTATCATATTTTTACTGGCAAATGAGGTTCCCATAGTGTAGGGTGTTCACTGTTATGTTAGCCGACTATCTGTGTTGTATTGCATTATATTTCTAAGTTTACTAGGTTTATTTTCTCTTTCATTTGTACCTAATGATGGTTGCTTGTGTTGCAATCGAAACGTCGTATGCTATTATTTAATTTATTATTTTCTCTTTCTACGTGACTTTACCGAAAGAACCAAAGAGTAATTCCTGCAGTCACGAAAGCGCCAAATCAAGTTTAGTCAAGATTATCTCTGTCATGCACTGCTTAAATTGACCTATCTGACCGGAATGATTGATCGGACAAGAGCTCACCTTGGTGCAGTTGTCAGCTTTTGGCTCCAGTTGGTCTCTGGTCACGAGTTGCTCGAGAAGGCTGGACTCCTGGTTCCCACTCCTCGCGTGGAAATTGAAGTATGCCTGCAGATGCAATATGCTACTATCAGCAATAATCTCGCGAAATTTCGAGAGTTTACATTTAAATGTGCAATCAGCATGTGCACAGGAAATTTTAATTAAAAATGTTGGAAGTCTGGAACCGGCTGTCCAGACGACACGCGGTGGAACTGATTCACCAGGATTCTTCACAAAACGCCTCGATGAGATTCTAGAATGGATCTGCTACTCACAACCGAATTGAACTAGATGGAACCGAATGGCCTCCTCTCTTGTTTTAAATATTTCTTATTTTATTATGTTTGTAGAAGGGATGTGAGTAGTCTGCTGGGGTAGAATGTGCAACGTGGATAAAACGGGTAGTGTAAACTTGTTGGAGGTAGCGCTACGGTAGCCGAGGCTGAGAATGAATGGCAGAGACAACGATTGACATAGGTAGAGTACGCGCTGTCTATAGCTAAGCTATTCAGCTAAGTTATTTTTTATTGTATTACTTAAGGCCCAGTGAGCTATGCAGCTCTTTTCAGAAGCGACCTGGCGTCAAATGATAGCTCAATGAAGTTGCTAATTGTGTGGAAATTTACAGCAGTCAGATACTCAAAACACACGTCAAATATAAATGTGTAGGGAAAAACCGGATGACCTGGAGAAAAATCTACGTGACCACGGACAGAGCACGCAAATTCCAAATACAAAGGAGGTGTCAGGGTCGGGATCGAACCCACGACCTCCTGTATACCAGGCGAAGTAGGTGACATCTTGCCACCGTGGCACCCTATGGTCGTAATTGTGAGGAATAATGGGACGAGACAGAATAATGAGAAACATTTACACGTTAGTTGTGGTTGGAGGGTGGTGGTATGACTGGGGTTGACTGGATAGAGTTGGTCAGTCTACAGGAGTAAGGTTGGCTGGGAGCTGGGCACAAGACAGGATGTGGGGCTCCCAGTATGACCTATATGGAAATTCTGACTGGTGGCATGGAGAGAGTGATAGAGAATAAAGGGTCAATACAGCGGCAGGGACACAATCGTTAATTTGCGTGTTGAGAAACAAAACATCTAAGGAGACATCACGTTTCCTTCCCATAGCTATCCCTCTCCACATACAACAAACAATTGTATTTATTACCCTATTCCGTCACTGCCTGTGGAATGTGTGGCCAATGGGATGTTTAAAATGGACACTTTATTTCTTATTCGGAGGAACATTTGCGGACAGGAGATTAATTTTCTGCTTAGTTATTATGTTAATCATATTCTCAACAAAGGCATTGATATTTTTGAGTCACGTGTTATGACTCGCATATAACCATGCAAAAGTTACGCTGGTTAGCACACTTTTTATGAAATACAATATTTGAGAATTTCCACAATTTGTCCATGTCAGCATTTAAACTAAAATGTAATGCTCTAAGTAGGCTACATCCCGAGACTAAAACATATTCATATCCGACACTTGTGATTGGTCGATCGCCTGAGCAGAGTTTACCTGCTCGAGAGGACCCTTGGCACTCCGAGACTTTTTTGGGGAAAATATGTTTATTGGTGCACGCTGGGCATTCTCAAAGATCTGGCAATAGCATCCTTACCATTAGCTCACAGCACCGGTGTTAGCCACCTACTTTAGGATTCTGCAGGAGTAGGTTCAGGTTGATGGCAAAGCCGGCCATGTCGATGGCGAATGATCGCGTGGGGCTGTATGCAACCTTCCAGCCGGTGACCATGCCATTGGCCCCCACCACTACAGATTCGTAACGCAAGCCGCCCACAAACGCCACGGGCCACACGGACACATTTGTTGTGTGTCGCATCTGAAAGAGTGTGGGGGGTGTGGAGGGGGGTGTGCACAGGAGGCAGCGGGGGGAAGGGGGGTATACGTTTATGTGAAGGATTACATTGCCCGTGAATCTATTTAATTAGAAACAGCATCACCTTATGTACCTTCAGGAATTAAACATTCCACAGAATAATCGCCAACCATAGGCAGAACTTACTCTTTGGTTCTTTCGGTAAAGTCACGTAGAAAGAAAATAAATTAAATGATAGCATACAACGTTTCGATTGCAACACAAGCAATCATCAAGTACAAATGAAAGAAAAAACAAACCTATAGAGAGAGAGGGGGGCAGAGAGAGAGGGGGGGATAGAGAAATGAGCATGTCAATGAGAGATTTGGAGCTTTCGTGACTGCAGGAAATGATAGAGCAACAACACGAGAACACAGAGAGAGAAACACACTTAATCAAATAAATTTAGCAAAATTTACAAATGCTAAGTTCGTTTGATTAAGTGTGTTTTCTCTCTCTGTGTGTCCTCGTGTTGTATTTCCTGCAGTCACGGAAGCTCAAAATCTCACATTGACATGCTAATTTCTCTATCTCCCCACCTCTCTCTGTCCTCCTCTCTATTTAAGGCCTCGACAGAGAGGCATTGTTTCTCTGTGTGCCTATGTGTGTGTGTTTCTCTGTGTGTCTATGTGTTATCTCTCTCTGCTCATGTGTCTGTCTATGTGTCCGGCAAAAACAACCCCCTACCTCCTCGTGGTGCCGCACGGGCAACATTGTCGTGGACAGTGCTGTGGGGGGGAGGGCCAATTCCGATTGGCCTTTTCCCTCGGGGCGTTTGTAACCACCACAGCGGCTAAATGGGGGCTTTGGATGGGTGCGAGGGGCTGGTAACCCGTCCACCTTCAATAAATTACCACAAAACCACGTAAAAAACATCTAATTAATAAGCGTGTGCCGGAGGCCCCGGGGGGACAGGCGTCTATGACGTCTCCTGGCCAAACCCCATTTGGTGGAGCCAGGAGATTGAATCTTTCCCCTCGGAATGTTCAAACGCTCACTGCGGAGGAGTTGCTGCCACTCCTCTGTCGGGAGCTGGAACAGTACCGTCTGGATCTCTGTGGTAATCAGGAGGCCCGGTGGACCGGCTCTGGCTCCTGCAATCATGAGGGGTGGACAGTCCTCTACTCGGGGCAGGAGACTACCAAACAACAGGGAGTGGCTCTTCTTCTGAACAAAAATAATGAAGGGGGTGTGGGAGCGTGGCGGTGAGGTGTGGGAAGTTGTAAGCCCCAGGCTATTTTGGGCTCGCCTTCCCATCAACCAGAGGCGAGGAGTGGTGGTCGTGGTTACTTATGCCGCCACCTAAGACGAACATCCGTGGAGGGATGCAGGCAAGGCCGATGAGTCAAATGCCTTCTAGGACCTCCTGTCACAGGTGTTAGCTAAAGTGGCCCATCGGGATAGAGTCATCTTGTTGGGTGACTTCAATGCCCGAGTTGGTCATGATGCTGGCACCTGGTCTGGAGTGATTGGAAGGCATGGGCCAGATCAGCTCAATAACAATAGTAGGAGGCTGCTAAATTTTTGTGCAACCTATGGGCTTGTAATTACCAACACGTTGTTCCGGCATCGGCGCATCCACACAACATCATGGATGCATGCCGGGTCCAAGCAAGAACATCTGCTGGACTACATAGTGACGGAACAGCGGATGCGCGCCCATGTCCTTGACACCAGGACCTACCGTGGAGCTGATCTGCCCTTTGACCATCGACTTGTCATCTGTACGATGCGCCTGCCATTTTTCCACTCCGGTGGTGGGTGTACACCCAGGACCCCATTCAAACCTAAGGTGGCCTGGTCTCAGCTAGCTGATGAAAGTTGCAAGTGAACATTTCATCATCGCTTGTGGCTGGGGTTGGCATCGTCCTCCACTCCTCCAGTTGTCGAGGGTAAATGGGCGAGGTTTAGGACTGTGACTTAGGCAGCTGCAATGGCTGCTTTGGGAATGCAGTCCAGACCTCCATTAGAGAGCCTTGAGGCGCTGCAAGGATGGGTGGTGGTCGTGGGTTGCTGAGGATATGGAGTCTGCCTCAATGGCCCGCGATTACAAATCCCTATTTAACTCCATAAAAAAGTAACCTGCAGTGCCACACCTATTACCATAATTAGGGGAAAAACGGTGATCCAATCTCCGACCCCCAGGAACAGGTTTGCAGATTTGCTGAACATTTCTGTGAAGTCCTGGGGGAGGGGAAATCACTCGACATGGAAAACATCTTTGGACAAAATGGGGATGCTGAGGCTGCGGTGCCTCAAATATTGGAGGAAGTAGTTACCCTCTATGAGTGACTGGCTGGGATGCCATCTATTGAGGAAGTACTAAAGGCGATCCAGAGTCTGAGACCAGGTAAGGCACCGGGCAGAGATGTTCTCCCAAGTGAAATGCTGAGGGAGGGTTGCGTTTGTGCACAGACTGCCCTACATGATATCATATCAACAGTTTGGAACACTGGACGGGTTCCACAGGATTGGAAGGTTTCCCTTGTGGTCCCCCTCTTTAAGAAGGGGGACCGCGCAGACTGTAACAACTACAGGAGCATCTCACTCCTCAGTGTGCAGGGAAAGGTCCTGTCTAGGATTATTCAACATCGCCTTGCTAGGCACGCTGAGGAGAGGCTTGCGGAGCACCAATGTGGTTTCAGGAAGGGGCGGTCTTGCACAGACGCCATATTTTCTGTCCGTTTGCTACAGTAGAGGTGTAGGGGATTCCAAGAAGACCTACATATCTGCTTTATTGACCTGAAACTTCATTTAGCGCTTTCGTGACTGCAGGAATTACTCTTTGGTTATTTCGGTTAAAGTCACGTAGAAAGAGAAAATAATAAATTAAATAATAGCATATGACGTTTCGATTGCAACACAAACAATCATTATCAGGTACAAATGAAAGAGAAAACAAAACCTAGTAAACTTAGACATACAATGCAATACAACACAGATAGTCGGCTAACATAACAGTCAACACCCTACCTGGTTTATTACGTTTTTCCAAAGATTGGTCAATTTAAGAGAGAGATTAAACACAGAACCGGAGACACATAGACAGACACGTAAGCAGAGAGAGATAACACAGAGACACACATAGAGAGACAAACACATAGGCACACAGAGAAACAATGCCTCTGTGTCGAGGCCTTAAATAGAGAGAGAGGGGGGCAGAGAGGGAGGGGGGAGTAGAGAAATTAACATGTCAATGACCTGGCACAACATCAGGAAACAAAGCAACAAAACGAGCGGAGACAGAGAGAGAGAAACCACACTAAATTAAACAAACTTAGTAAAATTTGGAAATGTAATGCAATGCAACACAGAAAGTCGGTCAACACACAATTAACGCATGGCCTGGTTGATTACATTCTTCCAAGGATTGCTAAATTAAAAGTTAAGTTTCTGTATCTTGTCTCTCTATCAATTTTCACACATGCTAATTTCTCTACACCCCCTCTCCCTCTCTGACACCCTCTCTTTATTTAAGGCCTCGACACAGAGGCGTTGTTTCTCTGTGTCCCTATGTGTTTGTCTCTCTCTGTGTCTCTGTATTATCTCTCTCTGCTTACGTGTCTGTCTATGTCTCTCCGGTTCTGTATTTAATCTCTCTCTTAAATTTAGCAATCTTTGGAAGAACGTAATCAACCAGGTAGGGTGTTGACTGTTATGTTAGCCGACTATCTGTGTTGTATCGCATTATATTTCTAAGTTTACTAGGTTTTGTTTTCTCTTTCATTTGTACCTGATGATGGTTGCTTGTGTTGCAATCGAAACGTCGTATGCTATTATTTAATTTATTGACCTGGTCAAGTCCTATAATATCATCAGTAGGCCTGGGCTCTGAGTTGTTCTTCGTGCTTTCGGAGTTACTGCCCCTCTGCTCACGATCATTAAGGACCTTCATGATTTTGAGCGGGCCTGGTTAAAACTACATGGCCGGGAGTCGGAGCCATTCCCTGTTCACCTTGGGGTGCGACAGGGATGTCCTCTGGCTCCCACATTATTTAACATATTTTCATCCACGTAGTTCGTGAAGCTTTTGATGGCTGTACCAGAATAATTTCCATCTGGTACAGATACAATGAGAGGCTGATCGATGCCCGGGTGTAGTCAAGGGATGGCTCCCTATTGGTCAACCATGTTATATATGCCAATGATTTGGTAATTGCCGCTCACTCAGATGAGGAGTTGGAGGCGCTGCTGTTGAAACTGGAGCGTGCCGCTAAGAGTTGGGGCCTTTCCATCAGCCACACCAAAACTAAGCACCTGCCTGGGTATTTTGTACCATCAGGCACTCCACCTCCACAATTTCCAACCGGTGATGGGGCAGTTGTGGAGAGAATGGAGAGTTTCCCATACCTGGGCAGTGTGCTCATGACCGGCTCCGGTTTGACAGCAGAGGTCTCACTCAGAATCAATCGATTGGCATTGTTTTTTCATCGGTTGCATATCGCTGTGTGGAAGCTACCTGGTCTGTCATTCCGCACGAAACTTCAAGTCTTCTTGGCCACGGTCATTCCCTCCCTTCTCTATGCTTGCGAAACGTTGACCCCCCTAATGGAGCATCTTCACTGATTGGAAACATTTAGGCTGGCCTGCTTACGATCTATCCTGGGTTTAACCAGGCTGGATTGTGTGAGGAGCTCACAAATCCTTGAAAAATCTGGGTAAAGTCCCATCGGTGAGCTCCTCCGGCAGGCAAGGCTGCGTTGGCTGGGTCATGCAGCCAACATGCCCAGTCACCGCATGCCTAAACAGCTTTTGTTCGGCCGGATAGAGTGGGCTGAACGGGCGCGGCATGGGCTAGAGAAGAGATGGAGTGATGTGGTACAGGAGGATGTGGAGCTGAGTGGACTTGCCGATGACTGGTACCAGCAGTGTCAAGATCGGCCTCTGTGGAGGAGGCTCGTGAAAGACGCTGCTTGGCAATTGGAGGCAGTCACCCTCCAACAACAAGGGAGGGCGGAGGAGTGACGCTCACAACAACGAGCGGAGCGCCGGGTGGCTAAATCACAGCAAGTTGGCACAGTAGGGGGCACAGGTGGTGCATAAACCAGTTGTCTCAGTCGACCCGTGGCACCTGGGTCTGCCCCTTGACCTCCTGCCAGCGGGCGATCGACACTTCACGTGGCCTCAAGGTGCACATATCCTGGCACAGGTGTCGTTGTGACGTCACAGTCACTTCGTGGCGAATGGCGGTTGTTGTTGTGTTAGTGTCTTGTTTCTCTCTCAAATTTATCAATCTTTGTAAGAACGTAATCAACCAGGTAGGGTGTTGACTGTTATGTTAGCCGTCTCTATGTGTTATATTACATTATATTTCTAAGTTTGCTAGGTTTGTTTTCTCTTTCATTTGTACCTGGTGGTGATTGATTTTGTTACAATCGAAACGTCGTATGCTATTATTTAATTTGTTTTCTTTCAACATGACTTTACCGAAAGAACCAAAGAGTAATTCCTGCAGTCGCGAAAGCTCCAAATCAAGTTTGAACCATAGGCAGAGTTTGACTTCTATATTTGGGTGGGGGGGGGGGGCAGGGGTTCGCTTTGTTCCTCACATTAGGAATCGCGGTGCATATGATGAATTTATTTTTTATATTAATTTTAAACTACTGAAAATGTATTAATAGGTGTCCAATTTGGAGGGGCGTTGCCACCCTCATGCCAAAACTCTGCATATGTCTTTGACCAGCAATTCATACAGTAAATGGTACAACCACCACACCCTACAGTATGCGAAACGGACCTCACCTCCTCAAAGATGTCCATGCTGTAAGTGTTGTCGTCGTCTGCAAAATAGACGACCCCGTTCAGAGCCCGAGGATCCAAGCCAGACTCCCCGGTGGCATCGTGAGACCCATACCGGTTGCCATACGTCTCCCTGAGCCAGCGTAGAGCCTCGTTCCTCTGGAACGTGCCTCTTGGAAAAGAGGAGCGGCTTCTGTTGGGCTGAGAGCAGGCATTTCTTTACGTTTAAAAAAATGTATTTCACCTTGATGCATGATACAGAACAGATGTTTAGTGGCTGCGAGACTATGCAGTGGGAAGCACAGCTTTCGCTCTTTCACTCTTCTCGCCCCTCCTTCACTGGAACAAACTTCTCCAAATGAAGCAGTCACCTTCGCTCAGTAGTTTCCGCTCTTCACTCACAACTCACGTATTGTTTTCTAGCTCACCCCACGACCCCCTTAATGCCCCCCTCGTAACACCATCGTTACTGTTTTCTCTTCATATTCTCATCGTATGGCCGTGATTATCTTCCCATTCATTCGAACCAATCATCATTTATTGTCATCAATTTCGCTTTCACCGAATTCACGCATCATCACAGATTCGTCCCCATTGCTTGCTCTCGTCTATTTAATTCACCTCATTTCCACCACTACATTCACACACGATATTGTACCGTTCCTAATTATCTGCAAAGCGCATTGGTGAAGTCGCTATATAAATTATGCTAAGATAACATATGCGGTCGAGTTTTGCTCCCGCCTTAAAATCAGACTGACCAGCGTGGGGAAGTATGGCAAAAGAGCCCCTCCACGACCCGCGTGGCATAGAGGCCCTGATCTAGCAGTGGATTGACACAAAACGACGCACATGTAACCAATTAAGGCACAATACTGAGATGTACGAATATATTTTTTAGTCGTTTAACCAATCTCATTCGCGTTATTGTCGATGTTTCTGTTTGGTTTGTACAGCTTTGTTCTCTCTGTGAGTTTAAGTTTAACGAGCACACAGTTTGCATGCGGTCTTCAGTACAGAAGACTCTTGATTATCTGTGTGCGGTTTATCCAATATGTGTATTAACCGAGCACCTGAGATTTTGACATAAATTAATAAATCATGGATTTTTCCAAAGCCCAAATGAGTAATCTAAACAGTTTTACATTGTTATTTTTGGGAACGTTTATTGATAGTTACGTGCTTAAACTGAACAAATAAGTGCGAAATCCACGTGATTACCTCTATAGTACAGTAGTTGCATATCTTTACAACAGTGGGTGGAGTTTGATTGATGTTGATTGACGTGGCTCTGCTATCCACTTACTGGGTGGAATCTTCTGTGCTGTAGCAGGAAAGTGTTATCACTGAGCACGCTCATCGCTTGGTCGTTAGATCATTAGTATTCGTTCTAAATCTAAAACGTAACAAATTGAAATCGTTAGTGAGTGATTTATCCCATCATTTACTGAATGTCGAGGGTAAAATCTTCTTTAGGGTCATTGCCCAGAGGATGGCCGAGTACCTGCAAAGGAATGCGTACGTCGATACATCTGTACAGAAGGCAGGAATATCAGGGTTTTCTGGCTGCTTGGAACATTCCAGCATGATCTGGCACCAGATCCAAATGGCCAAGGTGGAGAAAAGGGACCTCCATATAGTCTTCCTCGACCTCGCCAATGCATTTGGCTCTGTGCCCCATGAACTCCTGTGGTCTGCCTTCAGATTTTTCCACATACCGGACACCATCACAACCCTGGTGAAGTCGTACTTTCAGGATCTGCAGTTCTGCTTCACCACCTCAGAGTTCACCACCTCATGGCAATGCCTGAATGTAGGTATAATGGCGGGAATGTACCATTTCTCCATTGGCATTCATAATGGCAATGGAGGTTATCATGAGATCCTCAAAATGGGTTGCTGGTGGATAGCGATTCGACTCTGGTTTTCGCCTCCCTCCACTCAGAGCCTACATGGACGACATTACAACATTGACCACCACTGTCCCATGCACCAAGAGACTGCTTAGAAAACTCGAGGAGAACATCAGCTGGGCCCGTATGAAGATTAAACCATCCAAGTCACGCAGCATCTCGATTGTGAAGGGAGTACTCTGTGACCTGAAATTCTTTATCGGAGAAGACCAAATCCCAACAGTGTCTGAGCAGCCGGTAAAAAGCCTTGGAAGGTGGTATGATGCAAGCCTGAAGGACAAAGACCAGGTGCAACAGCTGCGCAAAGACATCAGTAGTAGCCTACAGTCCATCGACAACACCCAACTACCTGGAAAGTTAAAGGCCTGGTGTCTGCAGTTTGGTCTCCTACCCCAGGTGTTGTGGCCCCTAGCAGTGTATGAGGTTCCAATCTCAACAGTGGAGAAGATGGAAAGAGGAGTCACGAGCTACTTAAAGAAGTGGCTCGGAATTCCACGATGCCTTACCACCATAGGCCTCTATGGAGATGGTATGGTGTCCTCAAGCTGCCCCTCACTAGTCTAACCGAGGAATTCTAGTGTGCAAAAACCAGGCTCCAGATGACACTGAATGAATCTCGAGACCCAGTGGTGAGCAACAACGCGCCAACCTTGGCAACTGGGCGCAAATGGAGGCCAGGAAAAGCAGTCCAGGAGGCAACAGCAGCCCTCAGACATGCTGACATTGTGGGTCATGTTCAGCAAGGGAGAGGAGGCCTTGGGCTAACTAGCCGTGCTGCTTGGAGTAAGGCCACTGCACCAGAGCGGCGGAAGATGGTAGTGCAGGAAGTACGCCATCAGGAGGAGGCTGCAAGGTGGGCCAAGGCAGTCTCTCTTGCCAAACAGTGTGGAGAAGAGGAAGATCAGTTGGAAGGATCTGTGGGCCATGGAAGCGAGGCGGTTGAGCTTTTCCATCAGAGCAACATATGACGTCCTTCCAACACCAGTTAATCTTCACCAATGGTATGGTGAAGATCCGGACTGTGCCCTCTGTTCCATGCCAGCCAACCTCAGGCACATTCTCACAGGGTGTAAAACAAGCCTCACCCAAGGATGCTACACTTGGCGTCACAACCAAGTCCTTAAAAACCTCGCGTCCACCCTGGAGGACAAGCGAGCTGCCACCAACTCCCTACCAACCCTAGCAGCATCACACCCCTTACGGACGACCTTTGTCCGCGAAGGGGCTAAACCACCGAAGATCGGCTCTACACCAATAGAGCGAGACCAGCTGCGCTTGGCCCGCGACTGGAAAATGCTAGCTGACATTGGCTGGCAACTTGTGTTTCCTCCGGAGATCGCAAACCACCACCCTAAGACCTGACATGGTGCTCTGGTCCCGTTCGCTCAAGAAGGTCTTCATCATTGAGCTCACAGTACCCTGGGAGGACTCAGTAGATGAGGCTTATGAGCGAAAACATCTGCGCTATGCCGATCTAGCTGCCAAAGCACGGCATCATGGCTGGAACACAGAAGTCCGACCAGTGAAGGTGGGCTGCAGAGGTTTTGTGGCAACATCTACAACCAGACTGCTTAGAGACCTGGGAATTAAGGGCCAGAGCCAGCGTTCGGCAATCAGAGCTGTATCGGAGGCGGCAGAAGGCAGCAGTCAGTGGCTCTGGATGAAGAGGAAAGACCCCAGCTGGGCCCCAAAGTGAGAGGGCCAGGAGGTATGCAGTCAACAATGCTTGACTCAGGGAGGAGGACGCCCCTGCCATGCATAGTCCCATGGGATGTTGGCTATCAACAACAAGGCAACTCCTATGACTAATTGGGAATGGGACGCAAGCGTAGGATTGATCACCCTGTCGCTGGCCACCTTTGGGGAGGGTGTATAGTATGAAAGGCTGAAACACCCTAGGAACCAAAGATTCACTACTGACGATGCGCTCCCCAAATTTCACCAGGCTCACTGTTCATGAACTCTTGGAAGTGCTTGCACAAAGGATAGTAACATTTCATCCTGTGTTCTTTGGAATCATGAATTGGTAAACATAATTTATGCCTATAATCGTATTTTTGGGATAGACAAATCACGATTTTTAATTATCCGCAGCCGTCCTCCCCATCGTTAGCATGGATAATCGAGAGTCTACTATAATTGAAAAGTCGCCCCCTTAAGCAGAATACTTGATCCATGTATTTGTGAGCTTTGCGTAGCCCAGGGCAGTGAAACACGTGAGAGGAGTCTCTCATTAGCCTTTGCAATAATAACATATACTGACACGTAAAATGCACATGCTGTCAGCTACTCGAAAAATTATCACAACTGCCATGCCACTACTTGCTTCGGTAGACATTTCACAAATGGTTATTGAGCATTTAAATAAAATATACATTAATTATATATGTACATCATGCAAATGTGCGTCTGCGGTCTGCCTGGCTAGTGTGTAACTTCCCTTTCTCCGACATGCATGTCGTGCGTCAGGCAGGCAGACAGAAATCCAGACAGGAAACCACCCAGATCACTTTTTTGTAATATCGTATGAAGTATGATATACTCTTTGGTTCTTTCGGTAAAGCCCCGTAGGTAGAAAAAATGATAGATCACGATGGTTCGATCACAACACACGCAATCGTCATTAGGTGAGACAAATACAGCAGAACTGCTGAGGCAGGAGAAAAATAGCGAAAGAGCTGCTGCAACAAGAGGTTATATAGGTTTGAGGTGGGCTCAACCCAAGGGTAAATGGGCAGAGCTAGAGATGCAATTTGCATGTAAATGTAAGAGATTAGCATGTCAATGTGAGATGGCTCCAGCCACAGCGGCTGTGTTAATGAGAAGAATAGCTTGTCAATGTCAGAGAACCGGGCAACAAAAAAGCAACAATATATAAAGTGACAAACGGGGGAAGGGGACAGAAGTACAGAACTCTAATAGGCAAAACGCAAAGGAAGAGAGAGAGAAGAGAGGATAAAGAGAGAAAAAAACAACACGCAGTAATACACGAAACCTCAGGACCCCCTCCAGCACAAGCATCTCCCACTCTCACCGTGTAACAACACCCACAAGCACAATAAAGGCCAGGTTCAGCCAATGACCAATATGACATGCCGAGTCTGACAACCAACTGATGGTGTGGGAGTGTGTGTGTATGGGGGTCGTGAAAACTGAGCAGTCTTTGATCGAGTCCTTGTGGCCGGGCCCCCAGGTGAGGTAGGCGTAATCTCCCTGGAGGTCCCGGGGGGAATTTGAAAATGTCCCGTCGAACCCAGCTCCTCATGAAGAGCAGTCGGCTGGGTAGAC